AAAACTGATGATCAGACCTTTTCACTTTTCCATACACAAATAATGGAATAAAGTAGAGAAGGGAAAATGTAGCTAACAGGAGGCAGGCAGGCAGATAGACTGTAAGCAGAAGATTTTTTTGTGTGGCTCGGGAATCCTGTTTCTGCCTTTGTAAAGATTTATTTCCTGAAACAATACAGAATTCCTCAAACCCACCCAAACTGAGCTGAGCACAATACCACCAGATGGTGAATCATGCGTGTAGCGTAAGGAGCTCTTCATTTCTGTATCCTTTCTTTAGCTTCCTGTCTTTATTTCTAATGTCACCCAATACATGCAGGGTACTGTCCTCTCCAGAAGCACCTTCACTGAGTTGAAAGCATCTTTATGAGCTATTCCAGTTACAGTTTCTCTTGTTACCTTCTGAAATAAACGTTGCAGATGAAATCATCTCACAACGTTTTTAAAGGCAAACAAGCAAGCACTGAAATCCTAGCGAAACAGGATAGGCACTTAGGGAATTTCTTTGTAGAACAGATTGCATGGCTCTCATAAGGAGCTATCCCCATAATGCAACTTAGCTAACCAGTTATGGGTACCAGGGATGACTTTCCTGATGCAAAAGGACTTTGTTGCTCTAGCGGCTTTGGAAACCGTGAGAAGCTTTTTGACAACGACAGGAGGAGTCTGCCTTGTAGGCCTCGCTCACTAGGACGGCTCCTGAGCAAGGCCTGGGGCTTTGCTCTGTGACAGTGAGGCCTTGCAGTCTGGGGCACCTCTTAGGCTGCGTTATCTCATAATATCTCCATATATATATAAATATATACATAAGTATATATGTATATATTTATGCATCCTCTATAACGTGAATATATAACAAGGCAAAGATGGCTGTTTCCCAACAAGGCAGAGCTGTGTGTTCTAGAAACACTTAGGCAGTTGGGGATAATGAAAACTTGCAAAAAAACCCTTGATGTGCTGGTGGGTCCAAAGCTAGGATGTTATTTCCAGAGATCCACGAGCTTTTGCAATACAGCATTTTATCAGGAAGAGAGCAGTTGTATTGGAACTGATTGTTATATTTTTACTGAAATGTAGGGTGGTAACTAAGTCAATTTGAAAGCATCCAAATTAATTATTTCAAGCAAATAAAGCATCATAAAACTATTCATTGTAATCCTTTCCACAGCAAAATATAAATCTAAAAATGTGTATATAAATATAATCAAAATATAAATTTCTCCCTGCTACATGAGTCCTTAAGTAGTCTTGGCTTTCTAGTGTTTCTTCATTTATGATGTGTTCCATTTTATCATCATTTACTAGAATTAGAAATACTAATCCTAAATTATTAGCTTTCTCCATGTGTTTTTATCTGGTTTTGGTTGCTGTGTGAGAATAGAAACCAATCCTAAAGCTTTGAGCCTGCAAGCCCACAGTCACAGCAGGTCTGTCCGTAGCTCACTGCAAGTTTGCATTCCTACCCCATGCAGTAAGATTTTTTTCTATAGACACATGTCACAGAGGAATTCAGCAGAGAACAAGGAATCTTAAGGCAGAGAAGGACCGCAAGTGTATGAAAAACTAGCCGCACATAAACAGAAAAGGTCATTAGCAGGCTCCTAAATTCCTGGCTAGGAATTAGTTTTTTGGATCATTAACAGTAAAAAAAACTTGGAAATGAATAGGACTCAGTGTCCTATTAAAAATTAGCCAAAACTATTAAAAGGTTTTCCAAATTCTAATGGGAACCAGACCTAATAGCGCATTTTCCCTTGTCTAGAAGGCTGTTTCTGCATTTCTACTACATTAATTTTATGTCCTGTGTCCTATGACTTTTAAAGATGCATCCTTAAGTATTTTTTTTCTGTATAGAAGTTGTAAATTATTTACAGTGAAGACAATGAAAGCTCAGGAGAAATAGAATCCAGTGTCACTGTAAACCATCACTGTTGATTCCAAGTTTTGCTTTCAACTATTAACTAACTATGAGAATTTTTTTTTTGGCAATTGTGTACAAATGTTTACTTTGGAAACCTTTAACACAATTACTGTATTATGGGACCCCAGGTGTTTTAACACCCTTTGGGTTGCAAATGCCTGGCTGATTTTGGTGAGAGCTGTTTCTCCTTTATTTTGCTTAGGAGTTGCATGTTTCCCTGAACTCAGTGTCCCGATTTCAATAACAGCTTTTCTGCTTTCATGTCGGTATAAATTTCTTGCTCCTGGTTACCAATAGATGACTCAGGCGTTTAAGAGAGATGTTTTCTTCTTTATGTTTTTCCTTAACTCTAAAATAACTTTGGCACAGGATAATTGCAAACAGTAAGCCCTTATTATTTTAAAACATAATTTTGTTTGACAGGTATGTTAAATCCTTTCTCCTTACTTCACTGCAAGCACATCTTATAAAATGATCCAAAGGAAGGAAGAGATGAAGACGGTACAAAAATAAATAGAATTTTACTTGACCAGCTTTGCCTGCAGGCCTGCCCCTGGGGAAGAAGACATGCCCACAAGTTACCAAACATGTTCAAACTCCATAGCTGTTACAGTCATTCCCCTCCCCGTTGGCCTTAGGCCCTAAATCTCCCCACCTGGCTCTCTGGTAAGAATCAAAGTAATTAGCTTCAGCACCCAGGAGTTAATTGGCAATACCAGCCATATGACTTTCCTCATAAAAGGAAGAAGGAAACATGGAGGAGGAAAAGGATATTGCAGTTTAGGTGATGGGAGAGAGGAATAAAGGGGGAAAAAGAAAGGCAGGACAAGATGATCTTCCTCACTGTGCTTGTTCATTCACACCAGATGCTGGATTCCTTTCAGTAATCAGTGAATTGTCCTGTCATTAACATAAAATTAACTCCATATGGTCTTGGCTGAGAGCTTTAAGATATGTAAGTATGGAACTAGACTCTTACAAAGCATGTGGAACACCATATGTGGTTTTCCACATGTGAGACTCTTCTCTAGTATAAAAATAGTTATGGTTACATAGCATACTATTCTGCTCTGTGAATATACTTACCCTAGATGTAACTGTGCTCTCAGAAGGAGTATCCCTGCATGCTGTGGTGCTCTTCCTCAGTTAATGTATCTGGCTTCTTCCAGGGAGGTTTTTCTAACAGCAGATATTTGCAAACAGATGTGGTTTTGCAAGGTAAAACACTACAGCAAGAAAGGTAAGGGATTCAGCATGGGCTAGTAGATTTGGTTTAGAGGGAAAGTTTGGAAATTTAGTTACAACATCAAAATGACATACATTGATGTCAAGATAATTGAGTCTCAGTTTAGCCACCTTATTTCTTATTAATTCTAATGAGGGCACTTGTATACCATAACAGTCTGCTAAGGACTTGTGCTTGCTTAAAAGCAATAAACATCTCAGTGTCTGTAACACAATTATCTTCTGCTGTAATCCTTGAAAGGGAACTCGGTGTGTATTTGGGAATGATACTCATCTTTACAGGAAGAGAACAACTGAAATAGCTGAACGCATTGGTAAATCTCAGTTTAAGTGTGTCAAATAATGCCTACATGGTAAAGTAATTGGGATGTAACAGTTGCTATTAGCTACCATTGATGTCTGAACATTTAAGTACAGAATGATGACTGAAGGTGACCTTGAATTCCTGTCTAGTTCATTTTGTAGTGTCAGCTTGTGATTTTTAATATCCAGAACAAGTCTAACAATGGAAAAATAGTTTCTTCCTGACAGAAAAATTTCCCATTCATTAATATGAAATTGTTTTCAGATGAAATTCATATACCCTGGGCTGCTCAGGCTATCGTCTCCTCAAGTCGCATACATCAAGCAGCATCATGACTGTTCTGTAGTTGGGTAAAAGACCCTCAGGAAAAATGAAATGATGGAATTGATGTTTATTTCCTTCAAAATCATAATGTAGATGGTCATCATGCAATGAATAAAATCATTACTTGATAAAAATCACTGTGACCTGAGGGAGTTCATCAAAATGTCACCTACCGCACTGAAGCTTGGGTACAACCAAAGATTTGATTTCTTTAGAAAAGTAAATGTTTGATAGCCTTTCAGTAGATGTTACACACTAGTGATACTATTTATTATATATTTATAAAGATACGATTGTATTCTAATACCTCATATTTTGTGAGCAAATTACACATCTAAAATATGCCTGTTATTTTTGTCACTAACAGCTTTACATTGTTTAAGTGGTTAGGCAGTACTAAGAAACATTGAGGATGGTAAAGATTAACTTTGCTCTGCAAACCTTTTCTAAGGAAAATGTCCTTTCCTGTTTTTGTCTTTACTGGCTAATGTCAGTCATTGTCTTTAACATTAGCTTTTAAGAAATGTCCCGGAAACTTCTATAAAACCACTAGCATTTGCTATTGTCTGAGTAAGAAAGTGGGTGAAGAGAGAGCACTGAGCTCTGTCCAAGCAGCGGCAGCTCTAGGAGGAAGAAGGACTGCAGTGCAGAGCGAGGGGGTGGTTTGGTGCTGGGACACGGGGCAGCAAGGGGGAGCAGATGCTCCCGCGGGGCTGAGGGCGGCGGTGGTGCGTTGTGCAGAGCACAGCCTGAGGTGCCCGATCAACGTGAGGCAGCCTTTGTGCTGCTGCTGCCCAGATCCACGCCTGGCCCTGGCTGTGCCCTGCTGCCCTGAAGTCGTTCAGCAATGTGCAAGCTGGGTTTCAGAAACTAATATCCCCAAGTGCACGCATGTGTTATAAAACGCATCCACATACATGAGAACATATGTACCTGGATAATAAAAACACCATGATCTCTTGTGGGAAATTCTAAGTGAAAGGCTTCTTTCTGTCCTGTCAGTGTGTATAACCTATCTAGAACCCAGTGGAGATGTGGTGGAAATGGTAGAATTATCTGTCCACATGTTCAAATTCAGCTTGAAATCAAATTCAGTGATAACAGTTTCAGAGTTCTGCTAGTACTGTTCTATCTCTCAAACCATTTTATGGTGCTCAAACCATTAATTATATCTTGACAGAAGAAATTCTTGCCCTGTTTTTTCAGACTGAAGAACAAATGGGCCTCTCTGAAGAGCAGCTTAAGATCCTTCTGGAAGAATGTGTGCCAGCCCTGAGAACAATGAGCAACGTTACCATGCCAAAATCTCAGGAATTTCTTTCTTGTGGATTAAGTCCGCCTTGTTACACAAGTCAAGATCCTGTTCTTCACTCCCCATCTACTCTTTCCAAAATGTTAGTTGAAGACCATATTGTAGGGATGTTAACAGCCCAGGAAAAGGCAGGCCCGGAAGACAGAAGTGTATGTATGAATGCCAAGAATGAAAACCCTGGGTGCTACTATCTTAGCAAAGCATTGGTTGATAGTCATTTATCAAAGGATTCACTGGCCCAAACAGAGGAACCTGATGACCAAGGAGGTTTACCAAAGACGGGACATGAGAGTGTTGCTGAAGGTTACTTTATGTCAAGAGCCCTCAGCACAAAAAAGCTGAAGAAACCTGCTTTCTTGAGCGAGCCATTATATTGCATCAGCAGGCACAAAGAGCCGGCCCGCGAGGCTGACATTCCCAGCATACCACTGCCCAGCCAGGGAGGTGAGGCTCTCCACAGCACTTCACAATGGGCTTTTGATTGTGGGGAAAAAACCAAGCAGGATCTCACCAAAGGTATGCACTAATACGCACACATTATTATCCCAGGGCCAGGAGGTACTTCTATAAAACAGAAAGCTGCACCAGAAACAATACGCACAAAATAGCACTATGTTTATGAAGATCCTCGCCTTGTCATAATTGGCTTTGAGACTAGAACCGTTATGAAATAAAATATTGACAGTGATTAATTTTGTGAGCTGGAAAACACTGTTGGCTACACATATGGATTATCTTTTTGATAACAGAACATTATATTCTGTCTTTTGAGGAGAACAAATAGTCTCCTGATAGTTGAAATGACAATTCAACAGAAATTCAGCAGTGTTTCCTGAATGTTGTTAATGGGGTAAACTCCATAGTATAGAAATAAACACAGTGTAGCTATATTGCAAAATAATCATTCGCTTTCAGGGAATTCAAACTTGAAGATACTAAAATGAATAAACACTGCACAATTTTTATAAACTACCTTTAGTTCAGTAAAGAAAAAATAGACTTTATCTAGTAAAAAAATAAATTCAGCCTGTCTGAACTTGTCTGAAGCTATAATGAGATTTTGCATGTGTCTCTAATATCTTTTATTACATTAGTTATATAGTAATTTTGTTAGTAAATCTCCATTTACATTTTTAGCCACTTCCCTTTCTGGAAAACAAACTGTTTAAGTAACCCAGACTTTAGCAAGTTCTTCTGCATCTTTAATTTCTTTCATGAAAATGTTGACCTAATGAAGATATTCACAATTAGAGGGCTATAATTTCATTGTAATAGCAATTAATCCCCTCAATCCTTTCAGCCTCCCCTGAATTTGGAGAAACACTTCTGCATGCTCATTGCTTTTGTAGAAGGGCATCCTCATGTCTCTTTATTGCATTACAAGTCCACAGATCTGTGCTGCTTCTTGTATTGCTCGTACTTAACCTTTCTGCTGAGAAGGAAAGGATATATGTCCAATTGGAGGCCGTTGTTACAGTGCAAACCTGTAGAAAGGCAAATTGGGAGGCACGTGCCCGTGGCAGAGCTGGGAACCACGGAGAGCCACGTCTGCTGGGACAACGTCATCTACTGCAGCGTTAAAATGCTACCGATTCACTATCCCTCTTGCTTCTTGAGCACTACGGGGAGGAAAACTGAGGTTTAACATGTGCCCTTAACATCAACTCAAGTTCTCTTTAACCTTGTTTGCGTAGAGGTAGTTCTCTTAAAGCCATCTCCATCTTTCCACCAGCCTCGGTTTTGCTTTCTCCCTGTTCATGTGTTTTAAGGTGGAGTGCATTAACTCAAGCAGAATGTGCTCTGTAACCTGTGGTGTGACCTGCCTGGGTAACTGTTGGGACCTGCTGGGGTGGATGGAGTCAATATGTGGTAACTTTCTTGCACAAGAGAGAAAAGGAAACGGCAAGGAACCACGCCGCTCTTAAGCAATTTTCTGTACATACATACGGATGTGAGATGCATTTCCATGCATCTCACGGTAAAGATTTTAAGAGTCTGTAAAGTGACTAATGTTATGTTTATCAGATAATCTAAAGATCTTTTGAGTCATAACCATGCATTGGGATAGAGCAATACAATGTGGTGTTTTGATTGCTTATTTCAGTAGCAGTTGAGTAATCATAGAATCCTTAAGGTTGCACGGGGCCTTTAGAGATCATCTAGAGGTCCTCTAATGTTCAGCCATGTAGACCTCAAATCCATACAGCTAATTGTACATCTTAATTTAGCAGTCATTTAGCTACCCAATATATAAAATTTTTGGAAGTGCCCTGAATTTTCTGAACTCTCTAAATAGCTTCTTTTTTACTTAAAAAACAACAACAAAAAAAACCCAATAAAATTACAAGGAACAGTCTTCACGGATGTCACTTCTACATCAGGCAAAATAAAAAAAAATGCAAAATTTTGAGTTTTTACCTTACTACATTATAGATAATTGCAGAGTATTTGGCACTAATTTTTATTTTAAATTATTTTGTGGGATTCAGTTAATGTTTACTAATATGCTAAAACATATATCTAAATTTATCATTTAAATAATTACATAAATAACTATATACTTATTATTTAAATACATTTAAATGAATACATAGCTTGATTTTATACCTTGCTATATCTGGTTTGCACTTTATGTAATGCAACTCAATGTTAGCAAAAATGATATTTGTGTAGATGTGAGTTAGCAGATTTTTTTTTTAGTCATTATAGTACTGTAGCCTGTGATACAGATTTACTGTAATCATTTAAAGTGCATGTATATATCTTAAGAAAGCATTCTTATTAACATAATTAAAAATGTATATAAATTTTCATAATAAATTCTATATATATTAAGCAAACTCTCATGTGCCTGCGGAGATAAGTGATTCCTGTTTCTCTGAATTAAAAAAAAAAAAAAAAGATAATTTGTACCAGGGCCATATGTATGTAAATACATACGATTACTGAGATAACTTATCCAGACTTACCCAAATACATATATCAAAATGTCATTTTTCAGCTGGACGAGCCAATTGGTAATTGTTTCCAGCCTTTTAAATTTTCTGTTTTGTTGCTCTACTAAGTTTTAAGTGGATGATTAACACGATCTGTTGTTGCTTTTCCCCTATTACTTGAAAATAGTAATATGCTTTCAGCAATTCAGTGTATGATTCTTTTCTACAGATGAGCTGCAAATGGGAATTTGAGAGGGATTACATGCTTTGTTGCACAGCCCTTTTGCTAAAACTGCAGTTAAGTCTACGGCAATGGCATCACACTGATAAGTATCACCTCAGACTCTCTGAAAGCAATGAATTATCATTATGGCAAGAAATTCCATGAAATAATTTATTCTTAAAAGAAAAACGTGATTACTATAGTATATTGGTGCAGCTGGATTACAAAATAAAAACTCTTGTATCGTTACATTTCCTAGGGGTGTTCTATCTAATAAATAAAGGTATACATGCGTAGCTGTTTAACTACAGAGAGATATTCACATGCATATTTCTATTTATCAAAAATATAAAACTTTTGGAGTTCCACTTTTCTCGATGAGATTTGATTAGCATACACATGCTGTGTGTATATAATGATTTTATGTGTCTCACCTTACATAAAATGTATGGTTTTCATGCAGTTAGCCCAAACTAGAGAGCCTGGCAGTCCCGGTACAGCGTGCTGGAGGCAGCAGCCTTGGTGCAGCGCGCGGGCCCGGCTCCGCGCTGGTTTGCGCCAAGGTGAAGCCTCCTGCAGGCCCTTGCTGCATCTGAACCACTCGCCTCTGCTCGCGGGCTGTGTTGGGATCCTGCAGTTCCATTTGGTCCTGCTTCCTTTTGCTTGTCTGCCCTTTACCTAACATTTCTCTTGAATATTCTGCGTGCTTACCGAACTGTTCTGTAGTTTTTCATTGTATGCTCTGTAGGGTGAGAATAAGAGGAAAATATTAAAAAATAAGGTTTTCTGAAAATATAGGGGAGGAGATACTGTAACAAAGGTATCTTAATAGATATTTCCTTTTACAGCCTCCCATTTGACATAAGCTAAAGACAAATTCTTTCTCAGATACCACAGTAGCTGTTTAACATTTGAACAGATGAAATGTATGGATATAATGTGAAGTCATGGATTATGGCATAGGGTATGCTTGATCAACTCTGAATTTTTCACTAAGAAGTGTAAAAAGGACATTAATTTTGTCATATCTAAGTGATACTTACTGACTTTGTTTACTTTTTTCTAATATTTTTAGAAAAATTTCTTGTTTTGTTGTTGTTGTTTGCTTTAGAAACCACTGTTTGGCTTTTAAGAAATGTTGTTTCGCAACAGCGACAAGAAACAGGAACAAATGCTGGACATTCTGCACTGTCCCACAGTCCCGTGAGAAAGGATTAGTGTAAGCAGATTGCACAGTGCTGCGTGAATCTACTCAACTAAACGTAATTCTTGTGGTCCTTCAATATTATAAGCCTGTGTCATATTTTTATTTTCTATATCATAAATATAATCTAAGCAATACTGACAAGCTTCTCTTTTTTTCCCCCTTATTGTCTCTTATGATAATTGTGGTAATCATACAGGGCTGTTCATTGACTGTGGTGTTTCCACAATGTTTGCACCTGGCCCTTGGCATCTAGCTTTATGGGTTCCTCTTAAAAACAGCATTAAGGAGCTAGGAGAGTCATTGAAGTAAATTTTGTTTGTTTCAAGAATTTCGGATATTTAAAATATAAAGAGAAATAAAAATTCATTGTTACCTTTCCATATATTTTTGTTGTCTTATATCTCTCACTGTTATGAAAAACCCTTTTTTAGCATCTTCAAGGAAGAGCTTTGACAGTGCCTAGGCCTTAAAACTTTCCTGAAATCTCTCTCTCTCTTTTTTTCTCTCTTTTTTTTTTTTTTTGGTTCTTATCTGGCATTTCTGAGATAAACATAAAGCTTTGCATACATGTGGATCCCGAGTCTAGCATTAAAAAGAAGTCCATTGCTTCCCCTCCAGGCTTGGGAAGTGCTGAGGACCCAGTGCACCAGTTGCTTCCCTGCAAATTACTGCTACTTGACCTGTGTAAAATGCCGCTCCAGAGACTCTTAGGATGGATACCCAAACTCAGGGATTGTGTTGAAAATTACTTAGTTAACTATCTGTGCCTGGCTCCTTCTGCATTATACCAACTCAGACATTCTTTGGGAGGCTTTTTATTTCTTGCTTGACATAACAGATGACATGCCAATGCAAATACTGTTTTGTGGATTTTTTCTTCATTTTTTAAGTAAAACTAGAGAAAATAATTTTATTTGGCAAAACACCTTTATTGATATAAGCTCTATTAAAAGGGATACAAAAGACAGAGATTTGTCGAAACATCCCCAGTAGCAGGGAAAAGGAAAGTCGAGCCAAGGAGAATTCCTGTTGTTGTTGTTTTTTTGGTTTGTTTTTGCAGTGTGTCTCTGTTGTGTCCTACAATAACCCCCTCCTAGGGCTCGCTCCCAACCAGACTGCCAGCTGGACGGCAACGGGGTGACTGGTATCCTGTGTAGTGATGCAACAAGAATGACTAGGGTGTTTAAATGAATTTTCATGTGCAACCTAACTCAGGATTTGGAAACAGATTTTGCAAATCAAGATCTTTGTTCAGCTAAGTGCTATTTTGCAAAAGATTCTGTCCACTAGCTTTATTTTTTACAACATTTTCTAGCTGTTTTCGTCTCAAAATATAGCAGAGCAAATGAGACTGATTTTAAAGCTACCCCTGGGCTTTGAGATCTGTCTTATATCATGGGAACACAAAGTTTGTGTGTAGTTTTATACTGTCTTGTGCTCCTTATTTCCCAGTAGGCTGTTACAGCACAG